CCGTGTTGTTTTTTGGCGTAAACTTCGGCGCTGATTCTACATATGAGTGCAACAGGACAGTTACACGGGGCCGGGATTGGAGCAAATGTTAAACACATGAGGTCCCTTGTTTTGTATCCAGCTTCGCGCGGTTCATGCGGCCAGCTATGTATGATCGACAACCCAACGCTTAGTGGGCCAACGTAGATACGGCTCCCACCGCCGCGGAGGGCTCGCACACAAATAACACTTTCCGGTGCCTCTCCGATGTCGCAGCTCGGCATGGGTTCGAGTCTTCCGCTCTCGGCGATTGTGCTCCTGGAGCGTCGGTCGCCATGTTCAAGCGGCGCCCTCGATCTCGTCGTGGACACCAACATTTTGCCGAGCGCACAGGAGCTATCTCGCATGAACGAACAAGGCCTACCTCTGATTAAGGAAAGGTGGGGTCTCGTTTGTGGCTTCCCCTACAACTTTGTCGTGAAAACAGATCTACTTCTGAAATATTGTCGATGTAGGTTGACGCTCCTCGGTCATGTTGGGCGTGCGCGTCATGTGCTCTTTCTTGCAACAGCAGCAGTTTTTTTAGGACAATTTGTCAGGCTCGTGTGCGTTCGCTGTTTCTTTCGCGGTGCGTTGTTCATGCCTGGTATCGACCGTACTGATCGGCTGACCAATGGCAACACGTCTGGTGTGATCGATCGTCTCTGCTCGCTCGCGTCTTGCTGTCGTTCGAGAACTGAGGGCAGATTCCTATTGGCGTTGCTGGCGAAGGCCAAGCGTCATACTCATCATTGATCGTGATGCCCGTGAATCGCGGCTCTTCTTTTTTTTTTTTTCCGAGCGCACGCCGCTCTTCTTCCGTTCTTCTTGCGTCAAAGTCTTACGTAGTATTCCTGATGCTGGTGCTATACGAGCCTGTCTTGGGCTTTCACCGTCGCGCCACAAATGCCGACGGTTTCATGATATATATGCGAACGAGAAAAATGCAGCATTCCGCTATACGTCACACAGCGCTTATGCCCCTGCGATGTCTTAGAGCCACCGAAAACCCGATGTTCCCCTCCTTACACCCCTAATTTTTCGCCTGTTCTACAACAGCGAGCTATCAGGGCTTTGGTGTGAGTTCGACGAGTGCGTGTATAGAGCACCGGTAGATAGAGCCTCTCCTTCTTTGTGCCGAACTACCTGTTGATGTGGTTCACTTCTTCCTCGCCTTCGTCTCTAGTAGCTCGCGACCTGACTGCCGCAATGATGGCTATACCATCCAGGAGGAGGGGGGGGGGGGTACTCATAGTCGTGCATGCCGTAGTCGTTTGACCATTGACCTCGCATCCCTACAAAGCCGGGACGGAGCACGCCGGGTTCTCACCGGACCAGGCTCTCACATCACCAAGCGCGAAGCGCCGTGAGGTATTTGGCGAGTCGCATGAAGGGTGAGCTGCATCCTGCTAAGGGGGTTCGGCATCTTGTGCTTACTTCCTTGCGTACGGATGACAGTTACGTATGACTTAATTTATTTTCTGGTGCTTTCACTTCCAGAGACAGTTGTAAGCACTGTGTAACTGCCTCGAGGAAGCTAAACCATTTTAACACAACGTGGTGCGATCATCCCCCGTTGCGCGGAGTGAGGTTTCTCGACCCCGCACAACATGATCTACTCGACCACCATTATGGTTACCGCCAAAAAAAAAAACGAGGTAAAAAGAAAAACGGTAACCTGGTTGCCAAGTTCACGAAGTGAATTGGCTTGTTTTACAACGTCGTTGCCAAGCGACGAAAACCCAATCCCGATGGCAAACACCGAGTGGGGGGCTTGTTTTACAACGTCGTTGCCAAGCGACGAAAACCCAAACCC